GTGAGCCTGTGTGAGCCTGTGTGAGCCTGTGTGAGCCTGTGTGAGCCTGCTCATCCGCAGGAGTGGCACAGAACTCTGCTGCAGGAGCGTCAACCGCTGCAGGCATTTCCCTGACACGTCTGCCCGTGGCCTCTTCTCATCCTAGTGCTGCTGAGGTCTTTGCTTTCTGACGTGTCTGAGCAGCTCTGTGTGTGGTGAGCCTCTCTTTGTGTACTCACCTATTTTTTTTTCCCCAAAAATGTCTCTGGGGACAGACAGAGTGTTCTGTGTTTTGTCACTTGTCAGCGTTCAGTGCCCGCTCGGTACCACGAAGCACTGAGCGCGGACCAGTTTTGCTTTGCTGTGCAACATGCTGAGCAGAATCTCTTGGCAGTTAGCAGCAGAAGGCATCTGACATGCAGACAATCCGTTTGGGGCTGTTCAGTAAACTGATCCGTCCTCCAGTGCTTCCTGCTGACAGCTGCTCAACTGCTTGTTTCCTCCTTTTCCTTGCCTAGACTGTGAGCCCCCGGGGCAGGGAGCACGTTTCTGTCATTTGCAAATGCCAGTTCAACCTGCAGCGGTAGATACTTGATTTTTTTTATTACCATAACATTAAACTTGAATGGATGAAAGCTGTGAAGCCTTAAGCACTTCTTTTTTTGGGGGGGGTCTTTTTGAAAAGCACTTTTCCTGCTTGCTTGGCCCCAGGTGGTGTCCATAGGGAAGGGCTGTGTGCATGGTCACTGAGCTCTCAGGGGTCCTGCTGTGTTTGTGGCACCCTGCCTCACTGATGGGAAGACACACACCTACCTGGCATCACAAACACAATGGAGTTGTGGGTTTTGATTGCATTTTTTGGTTTGTTTTGATGCTGCAGTGGAACCTGAGCAGGAAAGCTGATTTCCATGTGTGTGTGTATCTGAGATTCAAACGGTGTCACAGTGCCAATAGCACCTACAGTTAGGATGGAAATTACTCACTGTGCTGTTCTCACAAACAAACCAAGTCAGTGCTGCCATCAAAAAGTTTTCAGCAACCACAGGATTGCTGAAGGATTCGGTCATCAGGGGGAAATTCTTTACCCAGAGAGTGGTGAGGTGCTGGAACAGCTGCCCAGAGGGGCTGTGATGCCCCGTCCTTGGAGGTGTTCAAGGCCAGGTTGGATGGGGCCCTGGGCAGCCTGGTTTAGCATTAAACGTGGAGGTTGGTGGCCCTGCATGTGGAGGGGGGTTGGAGATTCATGATCCTTGAGGTCCCTTCAAACCCTGGGCATTCTGTGATGCTGTGATTGCAGCCATCATCAGTTCGGCCCATTGGAGTCGAGGCAGAGCAGGATTATTCTGGGATACAAAGGTGGAGGTGCTGTTGCATGGAGCAGCAGCGGTGCTCTGTGATGGCAGCAGCCTGAATCTTGGCTAGGATCACTTTTGTGGGTCATTCTACAAACCAACAACTACAGGCAACTTTTATGTACTGTTATGGCGTGATACAAAAGGAGACAGAAACAATGGAAGTGCAGTGTTGCCACCTCTGCTCCGTGTTGCACTGCTGTTGCGTGAAAAGTTGGTTGTTTCAGTGTCACAGGATCATAGAACAGCCTTGATTGCAAAGAAGCACAATGCTCATCCAGCTCCAACCCCTGCTGTGTGCAGGTCACCAACCAGCAGCCCAGGCTGCTCAGAGCCACATCCAGCCTGGCCTTGAATGCCTGCAGGGATGGGGCATCCACAGCCTCCTTGGGCAACCTGTGCCAGTGTGTCCAGCAGTGTGGGCTGGGAAGGATGACACCATCCTGACAGCACTGCCCTGATTTTGATGGGGAGGCTTCACATGGTAGCTGCTGCCGAAGCTCCGTATTTCATCACTTACTGATGCCACCTTTGATAATGCAGATGAAGCTGTACTTTGTGCAGTGAGTCATAGTTTCCCTGCTTGAGCTGAGCTCTTGTATTTCAAAGATCAATATGTGTATTTATAACAGATCACGGAGCTATTTTGAGCTTTGTGCTGCTTCCATTTTAAAAATTCAGCCCTGAATCCAAGAAGAAATGCCAAGCGGCACAGGAGCAGACTGATCTTCCAGGGAGAAGAGAGGAATCCTTCCCTTGCACAGACGCAGCATTGCTTAAAGGACTGATCAGAAGCTGCAGAGAAAGGCCAGGGAAGATGCAGGAGGACGTATTTCAGGAGCATGAGGTCTTCCACGTGCACCCTGAGCTGCGTTGTGGTTTGTTCGCTGCAGAACCTTCCGCTGTTAGAGCTGCTTCAGATGCAGCTCCACGTCTCTGATTGCTTCCCCGCTTCAGATCTGCTTGGTGAAAGCCTCTCTGAGCGTTGTGCCTCATCGAGGCAGGAATTATTTGCGTGCCATTGCTGCCACTTCAGTTTTGGAGAGGCACACCGGCATCCGAGCTCCTATGCACCAATTAAACAGAAGACATGAGAGCGTGTGTAGGTGCAGAGAAGGCCCTGTCCTCTGGCAGCCCTCAGCAGCAGGACCAGAACAACGCACGAGCCACACAGCTGCCTCCATGTCCAGCTGGGGTGGGCCGGGCCCTTTGGATGTGCAGGAGGAGAGTTTCTCTGCTCCAGCAGCCCTTGGTAGGGGCCCATGGAGGCCATGCTGGGGGAGCCCACCTGGCTCTGGTGGCACAGCACCACATCTTTGGCATCACGGGGCAACTCTCAGCCAGGAGCAGCTGCTGCCATCCACACAGACACGTGCAGTGTGTTTGGCGCTGTCGCACACGGCATCCTCGTCTCTGTGTTGGAGATGTGGATTTGATGCATGGGCCGTTTGGTGGGCGAGGAATTGGCTGGTGATTGCACTCAGAGTTGTGGTCAGTGGCTCAATGTCCGTGTGGAGATGGGTGACAAACGGTGTAGGGACCAAAACCATCTCATGTCTTTGTCTGCAGCTTTGCTGATGACACCAAGCAGTGTGCTGCAGTCTGACATTGGAGGGACGGGCTGCCCTCCAGAAAGGGCTGAGATCAGGCCATGCAAACCACCTGTGCTCCAAGAAGGCCAAGTGCACAGTGCTACAGCCAGGTGAGGGCAATGCCAAGCACAGACATGGACGGGGCAGTGCTTGGATTGAGTGCAACCACGAGGAGGAGGACTTGGGGCTGTCGGGGCATGCAGAACTGAACACAGGTGTGCTTACAGCCCGGAAAGCTGCCCGTGTCCTGTGCTGCACCGAAGCAGCGTGGCTTTCATCCCCCCACAGTGCTGTGCTCTGCTCAGGGGTTGAGGTGAGGAGGTGATGGCTCAGGGCTTATGATGGAGGCACCTCCGTAGGGACACGTGCATGAAGTGGAGGACCTGGGGTGTTTTTGGCCTGACTGCAAATCTCCCATTAGTTTGGTGCTCCTCGGGAGGTTGGCAGAGCAGAGCCACGGAGGTGACACCCCCAGATCCCAGCTGGGATCCCGCAGCGGTGATGTCTGCTGTGCTGTGGCCATGGTGGCACCACGGAGCTCCTGAGAAGAACCACAGGCACAAGGATGGGCCCGGGCTCCTTCAGCCCGCAGACCCGCAGTGTGGCTGAGGATGGGGCCCCTCGGGGTCCCTCCGGTCCCCCAACCCAGCAGGGCCCCCCGGAGCACAGCGGGGTGGGAGCTCCCCGAGGAGGAGAGCCCGCAGCCGCCGTCCCCGCGCAGAGCTGTGCGCAGGCAGCTCCTGGGCTGCAGTTCGTGCCGGTGCCGCGTGCCGCCCCGGCAGCGCCGAGCAGACCGCGGCTCCGCGCCCCGCGACCCCCGCCGGGCTCCGTTCCCCGCTCCGCCCTCCCGGCTCGGCAGCCCCGCCTCCCGGTGCGGGGCGGCGGCAGAGGGCGCTGCGGGGCCGCCCGGGGTTGCGGAGCGCTGTTCGTACGGCCATGGCGGGGCCGCTGCTGGGCCGGGTGGTGTCGGCGCGGCTGCTCCGCCTGGAGGGCCGCCTGGCGCGGGCGGAGCGGCGGCTGAGGCTCGCGCTGGCGCTGCGGGGCCGCGTGCGGGCGCTGGAGCGGCGATTGGAGCCGCCTCGGGGAGCGCCGCGACGCGGGGACGGAGCGGAGGGTGAGCGGCGGCGCCGGGGCTGCGGCCGAAAGGACGGGGAGGGAAGCGGAGCCGCCGCGGAGAGCGGAGAGCGGGAGGAGATCGCGGCGCTGCTCCGCGCTGCGGGAGCGGAGGGCGGCGGGGAGGCAGCGCTGCGGCGCGGCGCGAGGAACCGCTGTGCGTCCGATCAGAGCTTTGAGAGATGTGGGCGAGGGATGCGGGCGGGCCTCGCTCAGGAAGGGGCGCAGCCAGAGGTTCTGCTGGGCTTAGAGTTAGTTTCGGATACGGGAGCTGATGTTGCCTGAATTCCCCACACAGAAGACGGCGGTGTCTGTGTTAAGAAGGAGGAAGAGCCGCGCGCAGCGGCGCAGGAGGAGCTGGAGGCTGCGGGAGCGGAGCGGGAGCCGTGCCCAGGTGAGCAACTGCGTGCCCCGGGGGGGAGAGAACGGAGCCACTGCATTCCAGGCCTTGTTGGGTTTTTTCTCTCTTCTCACGCATTCCACAGCTTTGCTGGAACTCCTGCAGGTTTTGAACCGAGCTGGCAGTCCCGGCTGCTCGGCGGCGTTCCGTTGCTTTGGTGGCACTGCTTTGCCTCGCTGAGCAGCTGCTGTGCTTTGGAGCTGGCTGCCCTCACTCCATTCAAAGGGCAGCAGCTCGCTCTGTTGGCGCTGGCAGTTTTATTTGGTCTCCGGCTTTGGGATTTTTAGAGGCTCCTGTGAGGTTCTGTGAATAAACCAGGCTTATGGGAGCCTGTGTAAAATCTAGGGTTGGCTCGTGGGGGAAAAAATCAAATCAGAACAGGTCTCAGCCTTGTAACGTCCTGAACTTGAGCGCTTCTGGTAGGCTTGCCGTGGGCTTTCCCCTTTACAGAGCCAGCATTCTTTGAGCCTGAAGCTCCAGCTCAGACCAAGAGAGGCACGGAGGCGTACGGCAGGGAGCTGCCCGGCACAGCGCATGAAGACCTGCC